GAAGAAGAAGAAGAAGAAGAAGAAGAAGAAGAAGAAGAAGAAGAAGAAGAAGAAGAAGAAGAAGAAGAAGAAGAAGAAGAAGAAGAAACGAACTCCCTTAGTGACTGCCTATTTCCTGATCTTTCCTGTCTTGAGCTACCTACATAAGGATGCATAACAAGGCCATGGCAGGTGGAGGAGCACTTAGCGGTTTCCAGCGTGTGGGATTCTAGTGAGAACAGAGAAAAGACAAAGAGGAAGGAACCCAGAAAGTTGGCCTCAGAAGGTTGTAGGTAGAAGCTGGAATGTTGAACCAAACATTCCAGAAGTAGGTAAGCATTGGGTGATAAAATTCTAGGCTACGATCATGAGACTGACGGAATGAAGAGGAGCAGAGACAAGAGCTCAGGAAACTGAAAATTTTGAAAGTTGTGCAAATCATCCACATGCTTTTTGCAGTCACCAAGAGTAATATCAGGAATGTGGTGTGGAGAATAAAAATAATTCACAAATTATTTGATAAATGGAAAAGAAAAATTGATAATCCTATTCTTGGGAAAAATATGAAATGCATGAAAGGAGTCACGGGAAAGATTTTAAAAGACAACATTTTTACAGGATGCTATAGAAGTGATGGTTTGTAAGTGAAAGAGAACAGTCTTGTTATCTGAAGATAAAGTTATGGGACAGACAGAGTCATCAAGGGGAAAAGAACTGAAGGAAACGCTCAGTTTGAAAAAAATGTGCATTTCAGAAATGAGCTTTAATTTTAAATTAAAAAGAAAAATTCTTGGTTTTGGAACCTGGAAAGTTTCTTGTGTGTACCATCTTTTGTGAAATACGAAGTACATTTGGTTTGGAATATTTGAAATGAGAGCATCAGATTACTACAGGAACCAACGTGTAGGACATGAATATAGTACACCAAATATTGTGTCATTACTGAGAAAGTTCACCTTTTGATAAACACTATATTTTTTAAATTACCACTTGAGTGTTTTCTTTTTTAAAAAGTAGTTTTCCATAGCAACAAGATGTCCTAGATTATATGAAATTCATACATAAAAATAAAACGTGTTTCCTGAATAAAATAACCCATCATACAAATTTTAATAATTATATATTAGTTTTTTAACATTTCTGTTATATATGTATATATTTTTCCAATTTTTTTGTCTAATAGTCACTTTTCTGTCAGTATGAAGAGTACTACATATCTAAGTGGTCCTAGTTTGCTCCTTTCTACTCCAAGTTACTGAATAAACAAGAGCTGTCCTACAAATTAAGAAGAAATTAAGATCAATTTAATTTTCAGCATTTAAGCATTAAGTACTGATGTAAAATTCCACCAGTTGGAAAATCTCCTAGGACACTCTGGTAACATAAAGAGAGTGAGGTCTGGGATTTTCTAAGGCTGTGCTAAGTCTGACATTTCTTTAAGCCACTTCCAGTCCCTAAAGCCATCTGAGTAGTAGTCATTGTTTCTGCCTGTCAACCAAGACAGCCATTAGCCCCTGTGCGTATTACCCTAATAGCTCTACCAATCATTTTTATCTCTGCCGCCAACCTGAGCTTTCATTAACAAGTGTGAAAAATGCTCAAGCACCAACATCATAAGGAGGCACTGAACCAGTTCAATCTTTTGAAAGAGCTTTTACTTACCTCCTGCGAGAACTGTTGTATCACTAGAGAAGACCTGGAAGTCACTACTTACTTGGTAATATTTCTCCCTCTCAATGGAATAGCAACTTCTGTTCTTCTAATTGTGCAAAATAAAACTAACAGAATCATGTTATCTCTTCCCCTTACAGTCCACATGCAAATAATCAGAAAATTTTGTTGGTCCTACCTCTGAAATTTACCGAGAATCTGGCCTCTCCAAGAAAGCACACAAACAAAGCATCATGATTTCTTGCCCGTACTATTCCCTTAGCCTCCCAAACATCTTTCTCTAGGTCAGTTTCACTATAGTCTGGTCTTTATATTACATATATATAGTATTTCTTGAAACACCAACTAGATCATAACCTTCCTCAGCAAAAAATTCTTCTAGGGAATGTCCATTTTATAGAGAATAAAATCGAAAGTACACTGTAGACCTCCAAAGCCCAACGTGACGTGGTTCTGACAACTTCTTATACCTCATCTTCTCTCACTCTTCTGTTGTGCTCCTCCCTCCACATTGCAATTCTGCAAATATAAAAAACAAGCCCCTATTTTGGCTGAAATTGTTCTCACTCCAATACCATCCTGGCTCATTTTTTCACTTCGTCTAGTCTCCTGAAATGTTATTGCATAAGGGAGACATTTCCTAACCAGCTAAAATAGCCCATCTATAAAATTCTTTGGGGTTTTTTCCCCTCAATTTTTAATTCCAATTTCGCATCAAAAATACACCAAACATATATGTATGTAGACATATATAGAGATATGCATGTGGATTAATATGTTAGTGCATGTGGAAAACCTTTACCAACTAAATTATAAAGCCATAAATTCCAACCTAACTTCCATAAGAACAGACTATCTTTATAGCTCTGTCCCCATGATCTGTGACATGTTTAGTATATAGTAGTCACTCAGTGAATATTATTCAAACAAATGAATGAATCTTTACAGCACTGGCAGATCTCACCTGTATAACAATTTCTCTTTTCACCCGTTTGTCTCTAGTACCAGAGAAGGCATGGGCGTCATCGCTGTCTGCTGTCCTCTGACACCATCTGAGCAAAGGAAATTAGTGGAATCACAGGATGGAAATGTAAACCAGACTGCTTGGATGAGTTAATCAGAATTAGCCATCAGAGCATGAATTCTGACATTTTTCCATCCTTTATTCAATATTCTAACAAAGTACTCAAACCTAAAGTAATAAAAGGAAGACAAGCTCTGCCTAAAGACTGGTAAAATGATTAATTCTTCTAAGTTTTTCAGAAAACATAAAGCAGGAATAACTCCGTGAGTTCATATTTGAGCATTTCTCTACCAGAGATCCTCTCTGTTTTAAAACAGAGGAAAATCAGTTTAAAAAGGTCAAAGGATCCATATGTATTTGTAAACCAAAGTGATAAATCACTGTTGACACTAAGTTAAGTTCATGACCATTATGGTAAAACATGCTGAATTAGAGCACTGTGTTTGAAAATGAGAGACATAGTTTCCAATTCCATCTCTTCCACTAATTTCCTTGACAATGTTGGGCAGAACTGATTCTCATTTGCTTCATTAAAAGTCTTCTTATTAAATACAGCATCCCTAAAAAAGGGAAAAGGATACTAGAATTATTTGAAGGACTTCATCAAACTACCATTCCTCTTTGCAGTGGTCCAATCCTCCAAGAATCTGAACTTCTAACTGTAGGGAAGCACTTGAGTGGGTACATACGGGAGTTCAACATCTCCCTCCAGTATGCTCACTGTGGGCAAGAAGTGGATCAGAACATAAGAAAGAATTCTCTCTCAGCTCTAAAATATGATTTGTTGAACAGGAATAAATCATAGAGAAAGCTTTAAAATATACAAAATTAACAAGGAGCTATTCATCTCAGAAATGATAATGTTGTCTAAAATTATCCACAGTGATCAGCTATCTATGTGGGTTGTGCAGTCCACTTACAAGTCTTTCCCTCTGCTCCTTAACCATGGCTTCTGCTTGAATTGAAGATCATGGTTGTCCCATAAAGCAGAGATATACCATACTCATAACATCATTCTTACTTTACTAAAAAATATTTCATAATTCTTTCACTTCTTCTACTAATAATTTTCTGAGAACCAACCTTAATTCTAACTTCATAAAGAAATTGTTTCTAATTAGTTCCAGAGTACAATAAACAAATAACTTATAAAAAAATAGTTACATGAATTTTTCAATAGCAATTTTTTTAAAATTACAATTTTGCTTATTTGATTTTACTTTACTACTTGCTTTAATAATGTGGAAGTAGTGGTGTGTAGTGCATTGTATTTGTTCTGAGGAGAGATACGGGTGGCATACATTCTTTAAAAGATTTATTTACGACTTTAACTTTTTAGCAACTGAGTCTACAAATGATCATTTTAAATTTCTAAGTATGCCAAGAAAATTATTTAAAATATGTTTAAATAACAAAAACTTGTTTAAAACTAAGACCATATAAATAATAATCAAAATATCTACACACTAAAGATTCGAACAAGGAAGACATGCTTCTCCAAACCTGGGTATCACTAGCAATCGCCTTACTGAGTTGCTTCCATAGATAAATCATCCTTGGTTTTTGGTGATATGCAGGTATTTGTCTCTGGTTTGAGATTTCCATTAAGAGAATCACATATTTTGGTTACACCATTGACTCTAATGATAAGTATTACCTTGTGTACATTTTATATAAGAGCTACAAATTCTAGACTATATCCACTATTTTTCTCATGGAACGTGACTTAGTTTGCCAGTTTGCTGATTGTCATTTTTAATAATAGAAGAATAAGAAAGAAATTGCCTTTGTGACAACAAAGGAAGGAATCTACAGAGTGCAGCGATCACCTACAGAATGGGTGAAAATATTTACAAAATGCACATCTGACAAGAGACTGAACCAGAATACATAAAGAACTCAAAAAAAAACCACCCTCGATAACAACAACAACAGAAATACCAAATAATCCTATTTAGAATATGTGCAATGGGTCTCCAAAGAAAATATACAAATAGCCAACAGGAAAATGAAAACAAAATGCTCAATATCTCTAATCATCAGGACAATGGCAAGTCAGAGCCAAAATGAGGTCTTCACCTCACTCCAGTAAGAAAGGCTAAATTATAAAAAACAGCTAAGATAACAAGTACTGGTGAGGAGGTAGAGAAAAAGGAAATCTTGCACACCATTTGTGAGAATGTACATGAGGACAACTATTGTGAAAAACAAGATGAAATTTCCTCAGCAAAATTAAAATTATAACTACCATGTGATCTGGCCATCCCACTACTGGGTAAATAACAAAGGAAATAAAATCAGTATATCACGGAGACATTGGCACTCCAGTGTTTAGTGCAGCAATGCTCCCAATAGCAGAGAGAAGTAAGCAACGTGTTCTTCAGCTGATACAGAGCTGTTAAAATGTGCTGCTGATAGAGGATCTCCAAACAATATAGGGGAAATAACTCCCCACCTGCTAGATGTCCGACACACCAAGTTCATGTTCCCAAAATCGAAGGATGAATTCTAAGGAACAAAGGAGGTTAGTGTTTATTAAGGGGGAAAGATACAGCTCCTGAGAGAGACAGGAGAGGCAACTAAATAGATTGTGGATGAACTCACTTTACAGAGAAAGGTTTATAGAGCAAAATCACGAGATAGGTACAAAATCACAAGGTGGGTACAACATGGGACAAAACTATGATCAACCAGCCACTGAGGTAATATTGATCCAGTGGGGTAGCAAGTCACATACCAGGTGTTCATGGGAAGAACAAGGACCTTTTTGGAAAAGATGAGTCAGGAGGTCCCGGTCACCCAGCCAGGTGACTGATGCCTGTCTAGACTTATTGGACCAGATGATACTAATCCTAGCATATTGCTCATCCTTCAGGAGGTATGTAGACATTCAGGGGAGGTATGCAGGCATTCTGTCTCCATCTTGAAGCCTGGCCTTCAATAGATGCGCCTCCAGCCACAGTTGCAATGTGTTCTCATCCTCTTCACTGACTCCTTGGAGAGTCTAGCCCTGTCTGATTGCCTAGAATACTTCTACCTAACTTAGCTGTCCATAGTAGCACAAATACACAATGGAACACTATTCAATAGTGCATAAAAGAGAATACAATTTTGCCATTTGTGGAAATACAGATGGAACTGGAGACCATTATGTTAAGTAAAATAAAATAGGCACAGACAAGTGCCACTTGATGTCATGCATATGTGTACTATAAAAAAGTTGATATTATGGAAACTCAGAGGAGGACGGTGGCCACAGAGGCTTGGGGGAGTGGGGAATGGGTGGGGTGCAGAAAGTCTGACCAATAGGTACTAAGACAGCAGTAACAAACTCCGGTGTGCTGTTGCACAGTTTAGATAACAATAACACACTGTACATTTCAAAAGCTAAAAGAAAAGATTTTGGAAGTTTTCACCATGAATAAAGCACAGTAGTACATGCTTGTGCTTCCAGCTACTCAGGAGGCAGAGGCAGGAGGATCAGGAGGGTACAGCTTATGGTAGCAAGGGTGGGCATGCAAGCTATCAATGGCATAGCACAAAACATGGAACATGTCATTAGAAACTGAAGTATTGGAGGTTTGCAGGGGAAGAAAATAATATTCCCAGATTATGCAATTTAAAGTTTAGAAGCAATACGAAGAACAAGAAAGGACTTCTTTTTTGTCCTTATGGCACTGTAAATAGAATTCAACTACAGAGCACCTAGAATTGCTGAACAAAATGTAGAAAATGAGTTTTCTAAGCAGAGGTTCACTTGAGGGTAGGGAAATTCCCCAAAGCTGACTAAAACAGAAAGTGAGTGAAAGAGGAAAAATAAAAAAGACTAAATGGTGACAATGTGCAAGGTGTGCTAAAGCCTAACTTTGACTCTGTGAGGTGTTTATTAATGTTTATGAGCTAAAGACTTGGAACCTGAGCCAATGCTGAAAAGCCAAAGGCAGGAGTTTAGACATGCCAATAGCGGGGAGGGCTTATATTTAACGATTTATAGGGTAAAAATTATCCGGCAGTAAACACAAACAACAGGGGAAATTCCATGGGTCCATAAACATAAAGTAAAATATAGTACAACTGAAAAACTCTACTTCAGAGTAATATGTAGAGATATGAAAAAAATACATTCATTAAACAAATATATGTATATACAAAATTCTATAAGATTACAAAAGGGTAGTCAGATGGGTGGAAGCTTGAGGAGCTAAATGAACCTTGCATAAAGAAGCATCAAGCCAAGAAGGTCCCATCCCTCAGGCATAGTCCTTATCTGGAAATGGGTGGAAATAAATTGTCTGGGCAAAAAAGGAAGGCTGCAGGAATGGTGTGATACCGTAGAGTAGCAGAGAGGACTGAAATCTGGAAAAGGGAAAAGGTACAAATGTAAAAATAACAATGTGCCTGACAATTTCACCCACAACTTCCTGAATTTTGATGAGAGAGGTGACAATGGAGGAAGAGTATGGCACAGTTCCTGCTGCTTTTGCCTTGAGAATGCACAGTTTCCAGAGCTCTGCTGAAGAATCCAATGGTAAAACCAAACTATTCAAGACCATGGCCCTACAGAGCTCAGTGTGACCATCCTCTCATGGAATGTGGAAGATGTGTACCTCACCCTAGCCTAGGCCTGCCACTCCAAGATAGAAACATAACATGTAGAGTGAAGTAGACAATAAGCTGAAAATGTGACACAACTCAAGGAAGGGCCAATAGCAATGGACCCACGTATGACCAAGATTTTTAAATTAGGACACAGTGCATTGAATCTAGTATTATAAAAGTGAAAGAAAACATGCATTCAATGGCAAAGAAAAATAGAATTTTAGGAGAGAAACAGAAACACTTAAAAAGCAAACAAATGAAAGCTGGGTGTGGTGATGCAGACCCTAATCCCAGGTCTCCAGGAAACTCAGGCAAGGGATTGCAAGTTTGAGTTCAGCCTGTGCAATTTTATGACAGAGTGAGACCCTGTCTCAAAATAAATTTAAAAATTTTAAAAATGAATGAGGATGTAGCTCAATGCACAGATGCTGAATTCAATCCCTAGTACTTCTGTAAACAAAACTAGTATCATATATATATATATATATATATATATTTAGGTAGAGAAGAAGAACGAATCTATGAAACTGAGGAAAGATTAACAGAAATTGTTCATTATGAAGCAGAGAAACAAAGACAGTACGAAAATTTGAAACTGTACAAAATCTGATCATTGGAACAGTATCAAGGTGTATATAACATATCTATCTGTATCTATATTTAGATTTCCAAAAGAGAAAAGAACGATACAGAGGCAAAAAAATTAATGGAAGCATTTTTACCAAATGTGGTTAAACATATCACATTGTCCATGCATGAATATCAACAAAACACAAATATAAAAATAAAAAACTATGTAAGTATATATGTTCAAATATCTGAAAAACAAGGTAAAGAGAGAACTCTTTAAAGCCTTTTGAGACTAAAGGGACACTGATGAGAATAACATCTGACTTCTCATGATAAATAGAGAAGACAGCGTGCCAATATGTCTGAAGTGCTGGGAAGGGGGCTATCACCTCAAAATTCTATAGCCAGTAAAAATACCCAAAAATGGAAGTGAAATACAACTTTTCATTAAAAATATTGATAGAATTCACTACCAGCATCAGAATTATAAGAAATTGTAAGCAATATTTTGTCAAGCTGTAGAGAAATTATAGCAGGCAG